AGTTCTTGGACGACCTGCTCACGTTCGCTGAGATTGAGGAGTTTGACGATGCGTCCATCATTTGGGAGGTCTTGCAGGGTGAGATCTGCGGTGGAGGTATGCGAATCAACCCCAGCAAGACGGAGTTGCTGCTCACGCCGTCGGGAATTGGGAGCAAGAAAAGGATGAAGGATATTCGAGCGCAGAACACCCGCATTGTGACGTGGGAGGAGGACGACTATTTCCCATTGCACCCGCAGCCGTATGTGAAGTACTTGGGCGTCCAGCTGTCGGCGACGGGCTCGCGCCAGGGGGAGGTCACTAGTCGAATCAGGGCCGCCAACTCCACTCATTCTCGTCTGCTTCGTCGTGCTTCCAAGAGCGGGTTCAGCCCCAAGTTGAAGATCAGATTGTGGAAGGCCTTGGCGAGGTCAGTATGTCTGTATTGCCTGGAGATCGCCAACCTCACCAAGCGGGAGCTCAACAGGCTGGAGAGCTGGCAGGTGAAGACGCTCCGTGGGTTGCTGCACTCTCCCGCCCACCTGTACAAGCAGACCAACCGCGAGATCAGGAAGCGAGCCCGCGCGCCGACGGTCACAAGCACATTGCTGTTGCGAAGGTTGAGGTGGTGGCAGAAGGTGTTGTGGCCGGCCTTCAGGGACCCCAGCGAAGATCTGTACGACCCGACGCTGGCGGTCAGGGCGGTCGTCTTTGGCCGTCTCTCGTTCGATCAGGTCGGCCAGGGTGAGCATTCTGGCCTGCTGACGCTGCTGCTGGACGACATGCGGCAGATGTGGCAGACAGCAGACGCTCGGGAGAAGCTCACGGCTCGCCAGCTCTTCCTGCTGCACGGCGACCTCCCTGAGCTGGCCGAGCGCCCTGGCCGCGGTCGGCATCAGCCTGCAGTACGACATCGCGACACGCTCGAAGGCGGCCAAAGAGGTCGAGGCGCTGGCGTTCAAGACGGGCAAGGGCGGCGCACAGGCAGCAAAGGGCAAGAAGCCGAGGAAGCAGTAGGTGAGGGTGCTGCGACTTCAGCACCGTCGGCAGCAAGGATGCCAGCGCCTACGCCAGCGCCGACACCAGCACTTACCCGTGAGCTGCGAGGCTTTGCCACCGCCGCCGAGAGTCTCCACTCCTCCCTCTCCTTTACCTCCCCTTTCGACCTCCCCCTTCCCCTCCCGACCTCTCAGACACAGCTCGAAAAATATTTTCAAAGGGGGCCACGCTAAACTGCGGGGGACCCTTGCGCCATGCCCCTCACCAGAGGGGGGGGGGAAGCCGTCCTCGCAGGTGCCACTCCCACAGGGGTGGGGGTGCGCGGGTGCGGGGTTGGGGGCCACCGTGCTCTCCGCTCGCGCCCGCTGTCCGTTTTCAGGGCCTCGATCGACCTCGATCGCGCTGCGTCGTTTTCTCGGTAGTTGCTGGTGCCCCCGCGAAACTTCCTGGGCTAAGGGGAGTCGCGTTGAAAAAAAAAGGAAGGCGGGCGGCGGGGCTGAGGCAATTGCTGCCTCGTCGCCTCGCGCCCGCCCTCGTCCCGGTTCGGGCTGCGGTCGGGCCTCGATCGCGCGGCGCGGTTGGTCCGGGAGTCGCCGGTGTCCCCGCGGAGCTTCCCGAGCAGCGGGAGCCGCGTTCCCCCAAAAGAGAGAGCGGGCGCCATGCGGGCTCCGGCACAGTTCGAGGCGTCTGGGGTCTGCTGTGCCTCGAAGGAGACAAAGCGCCATAAACAGAAACTTGTGGCGCTTCGCGCGGGTTTCTTGGATACGCGCTGGCCGCGGAGCGCGCCAGGGAGGGGGGTCCAGCGCAGATCCAAGAAATCGGCGCGGAGCGCCAAGAGTTTCTGTTTGTGGCGGTTCTTCTTCTTCTTGGTGCCGTGGCATCCTGTGCCTGGGCATTCCGAGGATAGTGCTGCGCCGCGAATGCGGTTGCGTTTCGTCGGGCCCCTCGCAGGACACCTCCGGCCGAGTCTTGTAGGGTGCAGCGCCGGAGAAGGAGAGGGAAGGCTGGCAGCAGGCGGCGGCAGCAAAAGTCCCCCCCGCCCAAAAGAGGCGGCATCGCTTTTGGGTTGCAGGGTTGCTGGGATCGGCCGCTGGGATCCGCCGTGTTTTGGCTGGCCCGCCGAGGAGGAGGAGGAGGAGGAGGAGGAGGAGGAGGAGGAGGAGGAGGAGCAGGAGCAGGAGCAGGAGCAGGAGCAGGAGCAGGAGCAGGAGCAGGAGCAGGAGCAGGAGCAGGAGGAGTAGATTTCAACTCGAGATCCTGGTCAGAACGTGCCCGGGAGAGGTCCGGGGAGTACACGCCGGTCGTTGGAAGTAGGTATTCTTGGATACCCAGATCCCAATCTACTTCAAGCGCCTTCCTACTTCAAGAATCGACCTGATTTTGCTTTGTTTTGTTATTCTCTGGGAGGGCCTGGACCCAATCCACTTTATCCACCTTCCTACGCTATGTTTTTACCTACTTCTCCCGACCGACGTGTAGCGGCATCGGTACCTGTTGGTTTCCCATGCCCCGGCTCCGGCTCCACCGTGCTCCGGCCGGTACTCTCTGGGAGGGGGAGGTCGAGAGGATGAGGGGGGAGGGTGGCGGGGGGAGCTCCAGGTGCTCGCTGCTCTCGTGGAGGCTTCTCTTCGCAGGCTCTCGTCGTCTGCGTGGCTTCCTGGAGGTCGTGGTTCTTCGTGGTGAGGGCCTAGCCTAGGGAGCAGGGGGAAGAAGGAGGAGGAGCAGGAGGGGGAGGAGGAGGAGGAGGAGGAGGGAGGAGGGAGGAGGAGGAGGAGGGAGGAGGAGGAGGAGGAGGAGGAGGAGAGGAGGAGGGGAGAGGGAGGGGAGAGGAGGAGGAGGAGGAGGAGGAGGGGAGGAGGAGGAGGAGGAGGTTGTGTTCGCGTCGCCTCGTGCTGCCTGCCACCAGCTGCGCCTCGCCGAGTGTTTTCCGGGAGGGGGGGGGGGGCCGGCATCGTCTCGCACGGCCGCCGCAGGCCATCGAGGTATGTCAGGAGGGGAAAAAGCACGCAGACACAATCATCCTCGATTCCCAGGAAAATATGGGAAGATATGGGAAGCGGGGGGAAAGACAGAAACCCAGAACATATGGGAGAATATGGTTAATCCTGTTATCTGTGTCTATTTATTTGTGTGTCCCAGGGCGATCGTTGTCTTCGTGGTTTCCTGAAGATGGTGTCGCCGCCGCAGGTTCGAGGTATGTCAGGAGGGGAAAAGCACACAGACGCAATTAATCCTCGATTCCCCAGCAAGTATGGGACGATATGGGAAGCGGGGGGGGAAGACAGAAACCCAGAACATATATGAGAATACAGGGGAATTTGGTTATTTGTGTCTATTTATTTGTCTGTCCCAGGGCCCCTTGATCGTTGTCTTCGTGGTTTCCTGAAGGTGGTGTCGCCGCCGCAGGTCCGAGGTATGACCCGCAGAACCAGCCCTACGACTCCTCCTCCTCCCCCTCCTCCTCCTCCCCCTCCCTCCTTCTCCTCCTCCTCCGTCCTCCTCCTCCTCCTCCCTCCTCCTCCTCCTCCTCCTCCTCTCCTCCTCCTCCTCCTCCTCCTCCTCCTCCTCCGCCTCCCTCCTCCTCCTCCTCCCTTCTCCTCCTCCCTCCTCCCTCCCTCCTCCCTCTCCCTCCTCCTCCTCCCTCCTCCCCCTCCTCCTCCTCCTCCTCCTCCTCCTCCTCCTCCTCCTACTCCTCCTCCTCCTCCCGGTGGCGGTTCTGTCTCGACTGCGAGGGCGTTATGGCCGGCGCCGCCGACCCTGAAGGGGGAAGATACGACGGCGACGACGACGACGACGACGACGACGACGACGACCATGAGGACGACCCTGAGGACGACCCTGACGACGACCCTGAGGACGACCCTGAAGACGACGACGACGACGACGACGACGACGACGACGACGACGACGACGACGACGACGACGACCCTGAGGACGACCCTGACGACGACCCTGACGACGACCCTGAGGACGACCCTGAGGACGACCCTGAGGACGACCCGGAAGACGACGACAGCGACGGCAACGACGACCCTGACGACGACCCTGACGACGACCCTGAGGACGACCCTGACGACGACCCTGAGGACGATCCTGAGGACGACCCTGACGACGACCCCGACGACGACGACGACGACGACGACGACGACGACGACGACGACGTTCTGGAGCCGAAAGCTTCTCCAATGGAGGGGTGGTCCCATCCCAGGGGGGTGTCACACCTCCCCCCCAACCCTCCCCAGTTTCCCCTGCTCCTGCCCCTCCTCCTCCTCCTCCTGCCCCTCCTCCTCCTCCTCCTCCTCCTCCCTCCTCCTCCTCCTCCTCCTCCTCCTCCCTCCTCTCCTCCTCCTCCTCCTCCTCCTCCTCCTCCTCCTCCTCCTCCTCCTCCTCCTCTCCTCCTCCTCCTCCTCCTCTTCTTCCTCCTCCTCCTCCTCCTCCTCCTCCTACTCCTCCTCCCGGTGGCGGTTCTGCTTCGACTGCAAGGGCGTTATGGCCGGCGCCGCCGACCCTGAGGGGGGAAGATCGACGACGACGACGACGACGACGACGACGACGACGACGACGACGACGACGACGACGACGACCCTGACGACAACCCTGACGACGACCCTGAGGACGACCCTGAGGACGACCCTGAAGACGACGACGACGACGACGACGACGACGACGACGACGACGACGACGACCCTGAGGACGACCCTGACGACGACCCTGACGACGACCCTGAGCATGACCCTGACGACGACGACCCTGAAGACGACGACGACGACGACGATGACGTTCTGATGCCGAAAGCTTCTCCAATGGAGGGGTGGTCCCATCCCAGCGGGGTGTCATATTCCCCCCAACCCTCCCCAGTTTCCCCCCACCCCACCCCCGCCCTCTCGGCGGGGGAGGGATCAAATGGGAGGGGCTTCCCTTCGACGCTGGCTGGAACTCTTGAGTGGTTGACGACGACGACGACGGCGACGACGCTCACGCTGACAGGTCGGCGGATCTCGTCATTTGGGGGCTGGTTTCGAGCCAGGGGGCCATCAATCATTGATCACCTGATTCAGGCCCCGTCGTACTCTCACGAGCCGCTTGGGCTCTGGCTGCCGCTGTCCCGCGAGCGGTTTGACACATCACATTTTGGTGACGCCCCGACCGCCACACGTAAATTTGATCTTCTGTTGGCTGCGGAGCACTAGCTTGCAGAATGTTCCAGCCGACGCAAAATGTGAGGGACGAGGTCATGAAGTTCTTCTCCAGTCTGGGAACAGATTTGAAGTCCCGCCCAGAGCTTCGTTGTTTCGTTGGCGCCTCCGGTGATGATTTCCACCTTCTCCTTGGAATGACAAAGCGAAGCATTCAGCAGATAGCAGGGACGATTGGCTTTATTCCAGAGAGTTACAGCCGTAAGGCTGTGTTTGAAAAGCGTGGGAAGTCCGATTACATCACCCCGATGTGCGGCCCTGAGCTGACAGGATACGATTTTATCGAGAGTATCAAATTGTGGATGACACATACTAACAACAAAGAGTGGTCTGTTGCAGAAGTATGGCTCTCCAGAAAAGACCCTGGTGTGGGAATGGCCACCCTATTCGTGTCTCACGTGCAGGCGCAGCCATTAGAGGCTACATTGAAAGCTGTACCCGACGATGCCCACTTGTGGCTTGATTATCGAAGGCGCTACGGCGAACCACCGCCGCTCCCTGCCTTTTGGCAACGCCCATGCGGCCAAATGTTGGGCCAACATCTGTCCAAGCTAATCGGCTATGTGCTCGCCCAGCCTTTGTGGAACTCCTTGGCCCCTTGGGGGTACACCTGTGAGAGAAAGAGCAAGAAGGATGAGAGGGGGGACGAGGGGGAGGAGGAGGAGGCAGAGGAACAGGAGGCATCTTGAGGCCGTCTTGTTGCTTCCTGGGTGCTTCCCGGGAACCTCTTGGGGGCCTCTGGAGACCTCTTGGGAGCCTCCCCGGGCCCCTCTGGGGCCTGTGGGGGCCTCTCGGGGGCCTTTGGGGACCTCTTGGCCTTCGGAGGCCGTCTCGGGGGCCTCTCCGGGAAGTCGTGGGTCCCTCTTCGGGCGGTTCTGGGGATCTGTGGGGCCGTCCTGGGTGGTCCCTCCTGAGCCGTCTCGGGGGCTTCTTCGGGGCCTCGTGGGCCGTCTTGGGGGCCTTCTGGGGGGCCTCCTGGGCCGTCCTGGAGCGTCGAGTGCTCGACGGGGCGAGGACGCCGGAGCGCCTCTGACGAGCCCGCGGGCGAGCACTGCTCCGGGCCTCCCGGAGAGGCCTCCTCGGGCCCTCCGGGGGGCCTCTTGCCCGGCCCTCCTGGGCCGGCCGTCCAGTGGAGGGCGTCCCGGGGCCGCCTCGGGGCAGTGCCTGGCCGTCCCGGGGCCGTCTTGGGCTCCCTATAGGAGCTATCCCGGATCTCGGCCGTCCTGGAGGCCATCTCTTGGCCGTCTCGGAGGCCATCTCAATTGGCCGTCTCGGAGGCCCTATCCTGGCCGTCCCGGGGGGCCACATCCGCGCCGCCCTGGCGGGGGAAAGGAGGCCGACGGAGGCCGGGCTTGATCGGCCGAGGCTCCAGTTGGGCCTCTGGTCTTAGCAAGAGAACAAGCTTCCCTCGCTCCGTCCTGCCCCCCCCTCCTTGTCGTCGTCGTTGTCGTTGTCGCCGTCGTACATGGCCACGCCGCACGGGACAACTCAGCGGCCAAAGCCTTGCCAGCGCACATCTGCACGGCAGCTGCGCCCGGATGCGTGCGCCGGGATCCTTCACCGCTTTGCCAGTGCACATCTGCACGGCATCCTCTCTGCCGGTGCGCCGTCGAGGCGCCTGGCTCCTGCCGCAGGAGGACAAGGGCGTGGGAACGGTCGGCGCCGGCGGGGGGCGGCGGCTCCTCCCTTCGGCCAGCCCCGAGACCGTGTCAGCTCACCGAGCGCGCTCCACTGTCAGCATCGTTCGATCGATCCCGATCCCCGGCCCGCCCCCGTGCACACCTCGAGCCCCGCCGTCTCGTCACCTCAGTCGGGGATAGGCCCCTCGAGGCCCGAGGAGAGCAGCCTACATGCACCCCTCCAGGGGGGTAGAATCGGCCAGTGGGGCCCAGCCCTCGCTGGTGGGAATGGGGATCGGATAAAAGCGATGCTCACACTGCTCGCGAAGCGCCTACTCTTATGTCGGGCGTGTCCGCCTACAGGGGGATCTTCGACGAAAAATGAAAACATACCCCCAAGATGCCCCCCAAAGGTAGAACAAGTCCCAAAGAATAGTCCCCCGACTATTTTGGGGATTATTCCTTGCCTATTTTGGGGGTATTTTTGGGGGTTCTTCGTCGAACCTCTCCCTGGTCGGGGGACAGGCTCGACGTGAGCCCACTCGCGCGCGCCCGAAGAGCGCCGCCTCGTGGCGCCGGGGGGGCCGAGGCCGCGAGGGGGGCCGAGGCGGCGAGGGGGGGGCGAGGATGCCCCTGCCGCCGCTCTGGCAGGACAGCGTCCTGCTCTGCCGCGGCCGGGCGCGGAAAAGGGCCGCGAGGCGGTGTTCTGCGACGCCCCGTGGGGCCACGGCACTTGTGTGCCTGTGTGACCGGCGCTCGGCGTTCTTTCTTTCTCTTCCCCTTTTTGTTTATTTCTCTTTCTTTCTTTTTTTTTGTTTCTCTCTCTCTCTCTCTCTCGCGATATATATATATATATATATATATATATATATATATATATGTATATATATATATATAGAGAGAGAGAGAGAGAGAAAAAGAGAGAGAGAGAGACGCAATGGATCACGAATCCCCCGCGGCGGATCCAGGCCATGTCTGTTCTGCGAGTGGTGGAACGCGCCTGTCTATCAGCGCAGCAGCACAGAGAAGGGAAGGCCCAGTTCAAGACCGTTCCAGCTCGGTGCGCTTTCTGCTCACTCTGCGGGGTCTCAAACACCCCTTGTCTCGAAGACGAAAAATCGCCATGAATAGAAACTCTCGGCGCTCCGCGCACCCTTCTTGGACTCGCGCCAGGGGGGGGGGGGTCCAGCGCGGATCCCCAAAAACATCCGCGCGCAGCGCCAAGCGTTTCCGTTTATGGCGTGCTTTCTTCTGTTGTTGTCCCAAGCCTTGTCCTGGGGGGCCGTCTCGGGGGGCCGTCCTGGGGCCCTTCTCGGGGGCCTCCTGGGTGTTTTGGCACGGGGGCCGCCGGGCGCCTCGGGGCCCTCGCGAGCGCGACCGCCACACATCGTCTTTGGTGCGCCTTGGCGGGCCGAAGGGGGCTCTCTGACGCTTTCCCTATGCCGATCTTCAATCGAAGAGCTTGGGAGTCACACAGCCTTGACATTCGGCTCACTGTTCGTTGCGTCGGGCCTTCAACGGTCTCGCCGCTACCTGCCTCTTCGGTCGTGGGTTGTTAGGCCGTCTTGGATTGGTCCTCGCAGCTTGCGGCTGTCTCGGAGCAATACTTGGCCATGCGGGAGCCTTCTAGAAGCCGAGAAGGTTGCCAGTGAGCAGTACGCAATCCTAAAAGGGGCAGTTTCCGAAGGCTGCTTCCTACGAGGGGGTCGCCCTTCGAAAATTGCATAAGAAACCCTAGGAGACAGCTGACAACCATTCTAACACTCCACTCCGCTACCGTGCAGGCACGGTGGCGGATACCACACTTCGCCAATGTCAAGACGACTTTAATCCTTATAGAGTGGCTGGCGTAATCACGTATTTATCAAATGCCCGCGATGGCACGCGCGCAGTACTGGATGAGCCCTCGCTGACCTACTTGAACAGGTCTTTTTGCATATTTGAGGTTGCTTGCACCGTGGGCAGTAAACTTTACATCGATATGAGTGACGATACCGCGCACATGTTCTTAGAGGGCGCCTTCTCCGTTGACGCGAGTGCAGCCACATCGACAAGCAAGAAGCACAAGTGCTGGTTGGATGGTTACATTTTTGGGCGGTGGGGGTCTTTCATAACATTCAATGAGAGCGTTTCAGCATCGTTCAAGTCGGCGGCCGTGGGCCGCCTGGTGGGCCTGCTGGCCGGCGGCGCCCCCGGCGCGCACGAGCAGGCGGCGCGCGCGCTGGCCAACCTGGCCGACCAGGACGCCGAGAACCAGCGCGCCATCGGCCGGGCCCCGGGCGCCGTGGAGGGCCTGGTGGGCCTGCTGGCCAGCGGCGCCCCCGGCGCGCAGGACCCAGACCCCCTCGAGCAATGAAAAAATCACGACGGGAGGTTTTTCCTAATTTTCGGCCTCCGGGGGCCCTCACCGGGCCTCGGGAGCGTCAAAAAACGTCTCAGGATGCAAAGCCGGTCATGGGGAAAGGGTCGGGAACCTCTGGGGGTCGGACGTAATGAAAAAAACATTATTCCGACGGAAGGACCCCACATGATAATCTCTTTAGCTTGCATGGGGTATCCTCCTGCCCCTTCCCTTCTCCCACCTACTGTTGCCTCCTCGTTCTCCTCCTGTCTGCTCCTCCTCCTGCCTCAACCCCTGCCTCTTCCTCCTCTCCTTGCCTCCTCCACCTCCTCCCCCTCCCCCTCGTTATGCTTCCTCCCCCCCATTCCCCCTGCCCCTCCTGCCTCCTGCCTCCTCCTCCTGCTCTCCCTCTCCCTTCTCCTCCTCCTCCTCCTCATCATCATCATCCCCTGTCCTCCTCCTCTCCCTCTCCCTCATCCGCTTCCTCCTCCTCCTCCTCCTCCTCCTCCTCGTTTCCATATTCCTCCCCCTCCTCCTCCTCCTCATCCTCCTCCTCCTCCTCCTCCTCCTCCTGCCTCCTCTTAGGCCTCCTGCCCCCTCCTGGGGCCTCCTGGGGCCTCTTGGGGCCTCCTGGGGCCTCTTGGGGCCTTCCGGGACCTACTGGGGCCTCCTCGGGCATTCCTCCTCCTCCTTTTCCTCCTCGTCCTTCCTCCCCTCAGCCTCTTCCTCTTCCTGCTTTCCTGTCTCGTCCTGCATCATCCCTCCTCCTTTTCCTGGCAATCCTCCTCCTCCTCGTCCTCGTGCGGAACACGACCCAGAGGAAGCGCACGACGTGCGTCCCAGCCGATACGCGTCGGAGGACGACCCAGAGGAAGCGCGCGCCGGAGGATGACCCGGAGGAACCACGTGAGCTGCGGGACCCATAGGAAGGCTCCCGCCTGACGCGTCCTCACAATTCACTCACAGACGAGGGTCCCGCTTGATGCTTCTTCCAAATTCAGAGCTGAGGAGCCCAAAAGTGACGACTGTTACAGGAATCCGATGACACGCTCGGATTAATAACATGATCTGCGGGCCCCATAGGGAGGGGGCCCCCGCCTGAGATTTGCTCGCAATTCACTGACAAACGAGGCTCCCGCCTGATACTTCCTCCAAATTTATACCAGAGGAGCCCAAAAGTGAAGACAGTTACAGGAATCCGATGACCCGCTCGGATTAGTAACGTGATCTGCGGGCCCCATAGGGAGGGGGCTCCCGCCTGAGATTTCCTCGCAATTCACTCACAGACGAGGCTCCCGCTTGATACTTCCTCCAAATTCAGACCTGAGGAGCCCAAAAGTGACGACAGTTACAGGAATCCGATGACCCGCTCGGATTAGTAACATGATCTGCGGGCCCCATAGGGAGGGGGCTCCCGCCTGACACTTCCTCACAATTCACTCACAGACGAGGCTCCCGCTTGATACTTCCTCCAAATTCAAACCTGAGGAGCCCAAAAGTGACGACAGTTACAGGAATCCGATGACCCGCTCGGATTAATAACGTGATCCGCGGGCCCCATAGGGAGGGGGCTCCCGCCTGAGACTTCCTCACAATTTACTCACAGACGAGACTCCCGCTTGATACTTCCTCGCAATTCAAACCTTAGGAGCCCAAAAAGTGACGACAGTTACAGGAATCCGATGACCCGCTCGGATTAATAACTTGATCTGCGGGCCCCATAGGGGGGGGGCTCCCGCTTGAAACTTCATCGCAATTCACTGACAAACGAGGCTCCCGCCTGATACTTCCTCCAAATTCAAACCTGAGGAGCCCAAAAGTGACGACAGTTACAGGAATCCGATGACCCGCTCGGATTAATAACATGATCTACGGGCCCCATAGGGAAGGGGTTCCCGCTTAAGACTTCCTTACAATTCACTCACAGACGAGGCTCCCGCCTGATACTTCCTCCAAAATCAGACCTGAGGAGCCCAAAAGTGACGACAGTTACAGGAATCCGATGACCCGCTCGGATTAGTAACGTGATCCGCGGGCCCCATAGGGAGGGGGCTCCCGCCTGAGACTTCCTCGCAATTCACTCAGAGACGAGGCTCCCGCTTGATACTTCCTCCAAATTCAGACCTGAGGAGCCCAAAAGTGACGACAGTTACAGGAATCCGATGACCCGCTCGGATTAGTAACATGATCTGCGGGCCCCATAGGGAGGGGGCTCCCGCCTAAGACTTCCTTATAATTTACTCACAGACGAGGCTCCCGCCGGATACTTCCTCCAAATTCAGACCTGAGGGGCCCAAAGGTGACGACAGTTACAGGAATCCGATGACCCGCTCGGATTACTAACGTGATCCGCGGGCCCCATAGGGAGGGGGCTCCCGCCTGAGACTTCGTTGCAATTTACTCACAGACGAGGCTCCCGCTTGATACTTCCTCCAAAATCAGACCTGAGGAGCCCAAAAGTGACGACAGTTACAGGAATCCGATGACCCGCTCGGATTAGTAACATGATCTGCGGGCCCCACAGGGAGGGGGCTCCCGCCTGATAGTTCCTCACAATTCACTCACAGACGAGGCTCGCTCTTGGTGGATGATGGTGATGGGATGATGACGACGGTGTTTGATGATGATATATGATTGCTGATGATGATGATGATGATGATGATGATGATGATGATGATGATGTTGATGATGATGATTTGATGATGCTGATGATGAATGATGTGATGAAGGGTGAGATGTGATGGTGAGAATGATGGTGATTGGATGAAATGTGATGATGATGAGGTGATGTGATGATGATGATGAGGATGATAGATGATGAATGATGATGATGAATGATGAATGGTGGTGGTGGTTGGTGGGGATGAATGAACGACGTGATGATGACATGATGTGGGATGATGAGTGGCTGATGGTGAGTGAATCGTTGCGATTCTGAACGCGGTAAATGTGGTGATGATACGTGAAGAAGTGTGAATCAGCCGAGTATTGATGACGATGAATGAGGATGAATGATGATGCTGATGATGATGATGATGATGATGATGATGATATGATGATGATGATGATGATGATGATGATGATGATGATGATCGTTCTATGCCGATGATGGTGAGTGATCGTGCGATGGTGATGGTGATGCTGATGGTGATGATGATGATGATGAGTGGGGAGTGATTGTGATGGTGATGATGATGCGGAGGAGGAAGCAAAGAGGAGCAAAGGAGAGGGAGGAGGACGAGAGATCCTCCGCGGAGGGTGTGCAGAGAAAACAAGAACCCCAGTTAGGACGTGGGGAATTAGTCGGGGGTCTGGGGAGCAGGCGGCGCGCGCGCTGGCCAGCCTGGCCGTCAAAGACGCCGAGAACAAGCGCGCCATCGGCCGGGCCCCAGGCGCCGTGGAGGGCCTGGTGGGCCTGCTGGCCGGCGGCGCCCCCGGCGCGCAGGAGCAGGCGGCGCGCGCGCTGGCCAACCTGGCCGTCAAAGACGCCGAGAACCAGCGCGCCATCGGCCGGGCCCTGGGCGCCGTGGAGGGCCTGGTGGGCCTGCTGGCCGGCGGCGCCCCCGGCGCGCAGGAGCTGGCGGCGCTCGCGCTGGCCAACCTGGCCTGCAACGACGCCGAGAACCAGCGCGCCATCGGCCGGGCCCCGGGCGCCGTGGAGGGCCTGGTGGGCCTGCTGGCCGGCGGCGCCCCCGGCGCGCAGGAGCGGGCGGCGGCCGCGCTGGCCAACCTGGCCTGGGAAGACGCCGAGAACCAGCGCGCCATCGGCCGGGCCCCGGGCGCCGTGGAGGGCCTGGTGGGCCTGCTGGCCGGCGGCGCCCCCGGCGCGCAGGAGCAGGCGGCGCTCGCGCTGGCCAACCTGGCCGTCAAAGACGCCGAGAACCGGCGCGCCATCGGCCGGGCCCCGGGCGCCGTGGAGGGCCTGGTGGGCCTGCTGGCCGGCGGCGCCCCCGGCGCGCAGGAGCAGGCGGCGCTCGCGCTGGCCAACCTGGCCAAAGACGCCGAGAACAAGCGCGCCATCATGGCGGCCGGCGCCGGGCACCACGCGTGGAGATCGGGTGTCCTGCAGCGCGAGCTGGGCAGTGAGAGGTGCGCGCTGCAGTAGGCGCCGCCGCCCCGGCCGTCGGCGCAGAGCATCCGCGCGTGGCCGCGCCGCCGGGCGGCGGCAGCGTCTTGATTTCTCAGGACGGCGTCCTCAGAAACTCCCGCCCTGACTCCAGATCCGCCCTACTTTGGTTTTTTTTTCCAACTTAGAATTGCGTCGGAAATCCACTTATAAAAAACCGAAGCTGCATGGCAGAAATTTCTGCACCCAACAGAAGGTAGGGCGGACATCCACAGAAGTAGGGCGGAAATAGCAACAGAAAAGTAGGGCGGAATTTGGCATCAGCGGGGTTGAAAAGTATGGCGGAAATGCCAAGCCCTACTTACGAATCTCCCCCTCCGGAGTCAGGGGCGACCCTGCCCCAGGACCGGCTCTTCGCCCCGAGCTGTTTCGCGACGGCCCCGGGGGCCCAGCAAGGGCCCCGCGAGGGGCCAAAAATACTGAAAGGCTTGCCGTCCTGATTTCTGAGCGACGCGATCCTGTCTGCAGGCGGGAGGCCGCGCCCCGCCCCGGGCGGGAGGCCGCCGCGGAGAGGGAGGGCCGCGGCCGAGACGCGCTGCCCGCGGGCCGCGCGGCGACCGCCCGCGGAGGCCACCTGAGGGCGTGAGGGCAGCTGCACCCCGCAGGGCGCACACAGACCTTTTCCTCCTCCTCCTCCTCCTCCCCCTCCTCCTCCTCCTCCTCCTCCTCCGCGTCCTCCTCCTCCACATCCTCCTCCTCCACATCCTCGGGTCGTGAGCAAAGCGCGACGCGAGATGTTTTTTTTTGTTTCGGCATCCAGGGGCCCCTACCGGGCCCCAGGAACGGCAAGCGACGACTCAGGCTGCAAAACGGGCCCCGTTGAAGTGTATTGGGAAACCTGCTTCCAACTAAAGTTACGTGCATTGGGAAGTCGAACCTGCTTCCCAAAAAACTGCGTGATTTGGAAACTCGAACCTGCTTCCAAAACAAAAACAAATTCCCCCCAAATCAGGTTCGACTTCCCAACGCACGCAGTTCATCACTGGAAGCAACTTTTTTTTGGAAGCAGGTTCGACTTCCCAATGCACGCAGTCCATCTCAGACCTCTGGGGGTCGACGTTGTGAACAACATCACGACGTCGGGGGTCTGGGTACGCAGGCTGGGCAGTGCGGCGCGGCTGGCGGAGCAGCGGTGTGTGTGTGTGTGTGTGAATGTGTGTGTGTTTGTGAATGTGTGTGTGTGAATATGTGTGTGCATATGTGTGTGCATATGTGTGTGAATGTGTGTGCGTGTGTGTGTGTGTGATGAAATGTAATGTGATGTGCAGGTGAATGTGCCTGTGCCTGTGAATGTGAATGTGAATGTGAATGTGAATGTGAATGTGAATGTGAATGTGAATGTGAATGTGAATGTGAATGTGTGTGTATGTGTGTGTGTGTGTGCGTGCGTGCGTGCGTGTGTGTGTGTGTGTGTGCGTGTGTGTGTGTGTGTGTGTGTGTGTGTGTGCGTGTGTGCGTGTGTGGGTGGGGGGGGGGATGGGGGGGGGGCGGCGTTGCAGCCGTAAATACCCTGCAGGGCGGGCTTGGCTGGCGGAGGGCAGCCGCACTTACCCCACGGGGCACGCTTGGCGGAGCGGAAGGGTGGAGGGAGGGAGGAGGACGACGAGGGAGAGGAGGGAGGAGGGAGGAGGGATCCGAGGAGGGAAAGGTACCCATGCCGCTACCCCTCCCTCGTGTTCGCCTTTTTGTCCCTCCTGGGAGGCCCTCGTGGCCACAGCTGGATTCGCCTCGCGATTTCGGCCGAAACGCACCCCGGGAGAGGTCCAGGGAGTGGCGGTGTCGATAGTTACCCTTCGGTTTCCCAAGGGAGGGGGCAGGAGTCTAGGCCTCGCAGATGGGGTGGGAGTACAAGATGGCGTCGGAGGATCGCGCCGCATCGCCGATGCATCGGCGATGCGGCTCGATGTGGGGCCCGATTTGCTTCACGTCGACGTCGCCGATGCATCGAGTCCGGTTGGGGCCGGTTCGGGCCGGTTCGGCGGCGGCCGGTTCGGTTGCAGCGGTTCGGTTTCGGCACGGGTCCGGTTTGTGACAATTCGGTTTTTCCTCGGGACGGTTCGGTTTCGGGCGGTCCTGTTCGGGTGATCGAAAGGTTGGCGCGCCAACGAGTACTGTTGCATGTTGCGGCCGCGGATTGAACCGCGAAAAAAGCATGAGCAGGAGTGGGAGGAGGAGGAGGAGGAGGAGGAGGAGGAGGAGGAGGAGGAGGAGGAGGAGGAGCCAGGAAGATGAGGAGGAGGAGGAGGAAAAGGAGGAAAAGGAGGAGGAGGAGGAGGAAGGCGGGGGAGAGAGAGGGGGAGGGAGAAGAGCGAAGGCGGCGGCGACGACGATGGCGGCGCCCCTACGTCCCCGACCGGGGGGGGGCTGGACCGGGGGGTCCCGGAACGGGGGGTCCCGGACCCACTCTAAAGTGAGCTGGGATACAGGCGAGAGGTAACGAGCGTGTGTCCGCGGCCGTTTGGGCTCAAGCGGCTGGCCGCCCAGATCTGACTACGCTTCAGCGCGAGGTGTACCATTTGCCATCGAGACCAAAACATCCTTTGCTTGAGATGGTTCGTCGCTCCCGCGACGATCTCCTACTATTGGGACTATCGCTACTACGGTATAACAGAGCTGGAGCTGGGCTTCGCCTAAGGCGAAGCTGCTGGTTGGGCCTCCCAACCCCTTTCAAACTTGGTAGCGGAGCTGGCCTATGGTGGTCAGCTCTTGCTCTACTTCTCACCATCCACGGCACTATCTGGTTGACTACTGGACTACTGACATGGTGGAACATCAGGGTGCAGTGGGTCTGCGCGGAGGAATGTACATAACTACGCACAGCCGCAAGGACACGTGCAGTGATACCTCTGCTCACGCAGAGGCCTCTTACTCGAGTTATACATCCCTGCGCTACTACACACCTGACGTCCACCCACATACTCCAATTGGAAACTTCTTCGAATATACAATGCGTGGAAACATGCGATACGACATTGTGCCGCCTCCACCCCCACGCAGGCTTACGACAACACACCACAAACCCCAACCAACCACATCCGACTACGACCTACGAGGCCACTGGATTGGTATAGCTATGTTTGGCTCATATGGGTAACTATCGGGTGTGCAGTGGGACACATGCGTGGCGGAGACGACACAAGAACAGCCAGCCCCCACTGGGACCCGGCCGGTCAAGTACCTTTCCGCGAATTTGCTCGCGAGGTGCATGCTTGGATCAACGTGGCCACAGGCACCATGACGCCCTCCCAACAAGCTGCGGCACTGCAGCGAGGCTCGGGAGGCCTCGCGCGGACCATAGCCATGAGAGTTCCCTCAGCAGTTATCATTTTTGGCGTCAACATAGGTGGCCGCCATATACCGATGGCGTCACCTACATCATGTTCCTCTTAAGCACGAAGTTCGAGAACCTAGACGAGGAACGCCACATTAACTGTGGTAAAGGTTTCATCGACTTCCGAGTCCATGCGGGGGAACGGATCGACCAGATTTGGGAACGCTTCGAGATGGACGGCTATGAAGCTGAAGCGGCAGGCTTGAACATCCCCAACTTGCAAATTCTAGCAGTTATTCTAGTAAGAGCCTTAGGAGCCACGTGTTATCGGAAGATACGGTGCCGAGGGCCGGCGCAGGCAGCCGCGTGCGGGGGCAATGCTGAATCGGCATTGGGGCTTCCTCGGCGCCTCTGGGGCCTGCTGCGGGCCTCTTTGGGGCGGAAGGCTCGGATTTTCGGTTTGTGTTCCCTCAGTGGGACTCCTTTTGGGGCCGTCTTGGGGCTCTCTTGGGTTCCTTCGGCGCCTCTTGGGCCGTTGTGGTGCTCTCTTGGGCCGTTTGGGTTTCTCCTGGAGGCCTTTCGGGCCGTCTTGGGGTAGTCGGGAGTGTTGGGAAACCGAGGCGATGAGAACGCCCACATCCCTGAACACCCTGAGGAAAATCAATGATGTGGGCGCGTTGAGGCTCTCTGGGGACCTCGGCCTCCTGGGCCGGGAGTCATCTTGGGCGTTCTTGGTGCGCTCTTTCGGCGACTCGCGGCCTTTTTGGTCCGTCTCGGGGGCTTCTCGGCGCCCTCTCATGGCCCGTCTTGGGGTCTCATGGGCCCGATGCGGTCACGCGACAAGCGCTCTTGGGCAGCCTCGGGTGGCCAGGCCATTTTGGGGATCTCTCTTGGGGTCCTCTTGGGCCCTCTTGGGGCTGTCCTGTGGCTCTATCGGGGCAATATTGGGAGCCTTGTGGGCCCCTCTGAGGCCGTTCTTCGGCTGTCATGGGGCTCTCTGTGGCCGTCTTGCGGCTCTCTTGGGCTGGTTTGGGGCTCCCTTGGGGACTGCCTGGGCGGTCTTGGGACGATTTGGGGGGTTTCTTTACTTCGTGGGGGTCGTCTTGGGGGCCTCTCGGGGCGTCTTCGGGGCCTCTTGAATCCATCTGGAGACCCCCTTGGAACGTTTTTGGCCGTCTGAGGCCTCTACGAAACCATCTTAGAGGGCAGTAATAACTTGTTATTGCAAGTCATCAGTCGACGCCCCCAGGCGGGAGTGCCCCGCCGTCGGCGCACCGCGCGATGGCGGGCGCCCGCATGTCCACCCGCCACGCGCCGCCGCTACGTCGGGCGGGCCAGGCCCCGCGCGGGCATGCTGGCGTGCCGCGCGGCCGTGCGTCGGGGTCCTTCCTCCCTCCGCTCCTCTGTGCACGGTCGTGATGTCTCCTCTTTGCCGCCTGGCCGCGGGGCGGGATATCAAGTGCCCGGTCATGTCTGCAGCGCCCCACCTGCCTAGTGTGCACTCTTCAGGTGGGGCGGCTGGCCGGGGTGTGGTCCTCTGTCTGCCAGTGTGCGGCTCTGGACCAACCCTGGGGTCGACGCGCGGGGCGTCCGTTCGCCAGAGTGCGTCGGACGCGACCGCGGTCGCGCTTCTTTTCTGGCCCAGTGTGGCCCCTCGTGGGTGTCGTTGTCTAGGGCTTTTCCCTGCGGGTCCTGTGTCCCTTGGTTCACCTCGGGCCAACACCGCTGGTCCTTGGTGACCTACGCGTTGTTTCTCCACCCTGGCGGAGTCTGTTTCACGGCCCTGAGGGGTCACGGCATTGCTATCAAGCCCAGAGTGGCCTCTTACGTCGGCCCAGTGTGACCAACGTACCCATATTGTTCCCCCTCGCAGGTCCAGAGCGACCCTCGTCTGGCGGCCCAGAGTGGCCATTCAGTGGCAGGGCAGCCGATGCCAGCCCGCATGCCTGGCGGCCCTAGAGCGGCCAATCTTCGATAGGGCGGCCGTTGCGGCTTGCCTGACTGCCAGCAGACCCGCGCGTCTCGCTTGGAGGCCCATAGTGGCCAATCGTCGCAAACGTTTCTTTCGCATTCCCAGTGAACAGTCGATCGCGAGACTCGCAGCGCGCCAGACTCGCAGCGCAAAGGCAGCGAACTCCCGCCGTCGGTCGACGGTTTTTGCTCTGGCTGCCGCAGGTTCGCAGCGGCTCCGAATGTCGGGTGAAGTCAGCGGCTTCTGCTTGCTTGCGATGGCGGAGCAGGCTGCGCAGGCGGCGCTCGTGCCGTTCGAGGCGAAAACAGAAAGGGGCTCCTTGGTGCGCACCGCATCCCGCGCGCGGGTCGCGCACGCAGACGCAGTGTTGTCGCAGGCGCGCGAGCGGCTTCGCTACCTGCTGGTTAAGGGGGCGGGCCCCAGG